CCAGCCAAAGCCCCTCATGCCAAAAGTACCGAGTCCCGTGCGAGGGCTGCCAGTGCCGCTTCCAGTCAACTGTGGGCCCCTGCAGCGCTGCCCCGAGGGCCAGGCTCATGGCGCGGGCGGGGGCCGAATCTCCGTGGCGGTGCTCGCGCCTGCTCACCGCGCCGAGGGCCGCGCTGGCCTCCATGGGCCCCATCTGCCTGCCCCAGGGGCTCGCGCAGGTCGCTGTCGTTGACGCCGTGGATCCCCGCCAAGGTGCACGCGACGACCTGGATTCACTGGCAAGCCGCCTCCTTGGGGGCGCTCGGGTGGGGGCCCACCTCCCAGGACCAATCGCAAGGCTCCACCTGCCAGCGAGAGCACTCCACGCGGCTGGGCACCTGAAAAGCGCCTTCTTCGCGGGGTCGGCGAACTGCGGCTGCGTCACCAGGGACGCCGACTGGGCGGACAAGCCCTCTAGGCCGTTCCAACTCGGGCAGCGCGTCTGGCTCCATGTCGGAGTTGCCCTGCTCCAGCCAGGGCACGCCCGCGGAGAGCTCGATGTCGCCGAGGGCTGCGAAGATGCTGAGGCTGGCCCCTTTGGGCCCCAGGGCGCAGCGCAGGCCCGCCGCCTCAGCGCGCCCACCGCCAAGCTGGCGTAGCCCCGCAGCGCGGGCCTCACAGGGCATGCCCCTGTGCTGGCGGGCCTCCTGTGCCCTTGCCCCCAGCAGCGTGGCCAGCGGGGCGAGCAGCCAAAGGGGCCGGGTCCGCCGCCGCGGCTGCCAGCTCCAGCTTGCAGGCCTGCGCCACCTGCGGCCACTCGCCGAGCGTGTTGCCGTGCCGCTCGGCTTGGCCGCGCTCAGATACGGCCTGGGGCAGCCAGGGGCCGCCGCTGCCTGCGAGGTTGCCGTCGTTGCCGTCGTCGCTGCTGATCTCGTCCATGGGGCAGGACTCCGCTTGCGGCGCATGCGTGGGGGCCAGGAGGGGCCCAGCAAGCTGCGCTCGCACTGCCTCCATCTGGGCGCGGATGGCTGCCCGGGCGACCTCGAAGTTGCTGGAGGCCCAGGCCTCTGGCAGCTTGTTCAGCTGCGTGAGGAGCCCTGGGACCTGGCTAGCTCCTGCCCACTCTGCTGCCCGCTGGCGCTCCCGCGCCTCCGCCTCCTCACGGGCAGCTTCCTCGAGGACCTGGAGCGCCCTGCTGGCCTCCTCCAGCGCGCCGTCCCGCTCCGCCAGCTCCTCCTGGGCCTTCTGGAGCTGGGCCTCCGCGAGGTCGCGCGCCACCTGCTTCTGCTCCATGTCCTGGCGGGCTGCGCGGAGCCGCTTCTCCGACTTACTGATGGCGTTGGCCTCCTTGTGCAGCAGCGTCGACCTCAGCATGGAGGCGGCCTTCTGCTCCGCTGCTGCCTGCTGGGCCTTGGCCAGCTCTGCCCGCTTCGACTCCAGCTGGCTGGCCACGACGCTGGTGAAGCTGCCGTCGACGCCCTCGGGCGGCCCCGCCTGCAGCGCCTCCAGCTGCTCGACCGTCGCCTGTAGCCTCTCGATCGCCGTGACTCCACCGCCACTGGGCGCCCCACTAGCTGCAGAAGCCGAGGTCTGCGACTTGGCGGATGCCGCTCGCGAAGCCGCGCTGCGGGCCTGCCGCTGGGCTTTGCGCCCCCTCGGCTGGTCCACCCAGCCGTCCTTGTCGGCCTTGGGCTTCTCCGCCGCCGGCGCTGCCCCCGTGGCCCAGGGCGGTGCCGCATACCCACAGCTGAGGAAAGAGGTACGCCAGTCCCAGTTCCAACCTCCGCAGCTGCACATCCAGTACGGCCTGCTGCGCTTGCCCCTGCTGCCGCCTCGCGAGGAGCGCGCCATGGCCCCAGGCGCACGGTCTGAGCGATTGCGCTTCTGCGCAACGAAGGCAAGGAGAACAACTGAGTGCACTGGCCCAAAGCGAGGAGCCCCTCGCGCTCGGAACGCCGCGGACGACTCGCGGTCGTCGGGTGCTCCATGGCCTTGAGCCAAAATGGCTACGGCAGGTTCGTGTCGTGCCGACCCCAGCGTTGGTTTTTGACACCGCAGGGATCGTTCAACCTTGAACGATCGGCCGCTGCCGCAACGTCCGATCGTTCAGCATCGATCGATTCTGGGTCGCCGGCGGCGTTCAACCTTGAACGCCCGCGTTGGGGTCGCCGCTGGTCGACACGACGCAAACCTACCGTACGGATGTTCGGTCATGTTCTGTCATGCTGTGTTCTGTTTTGCGCTGTTCTCTTGTTTCCTGTCATGCTCGTCGAAAGCACGGGTGGCATAATACTCGGGAGACGAACGGTGTACTTCGGGATCTGGCGGCTGCAGCATGCAGGGTGGGCCGGTCAGGAGGTCTGTCTTTAAATCTAACGACCCCAACCTGTCGGGTGGGGAGCAAGTCTGATGTCATGTTGCCCCCATCGTACTTAAGGACCAAATCCCAGAAATAATTCCGAGCACCCAAACATGTGTCGACATAGTGTCGAACGAATATCGCCTCCCAGGGCCCGACACGTGAAAACCCTCCAGTCTCGATCGTTTCTTGGTGCTCAAAACTCTTTCAGGTGGTCAAGGCTAAGGTCGGTTGGAACCTCATAAGTCTGATGTGTTCTGTAATGCTTTGCTTTGCTATGTCATGTGCTGCTGTCGTGTTCGATGTTGCCATGCTCTGTTCTGTAAGGGTATGGTCGGCCATGTTCTGTCATGGTGTGTTCTGTTATGCGCTGTTCTCTTCTTCTTTGTCATGCGCGTCGAAGGCGCGGGTGACCGAATACTCGGGGGACGATCGGTGGACTTCGGGATCTGGCGGCCGCGGTATGCATATTGGGCCTGTCGGGAGGACTGCTCAACAAATCTAACGACCCAACATGTTGGGTGGGGAACGGATATGATGTGTTCTGTCATGTTTTGCTCTGCTATGTCATGTGTTACGATGGCGTGAGAAGTTTTGTCATATTCTGTTCAATCGTATTATGTAAAACTGTGTTCTGTTATGCGCTGTTCTCCTCAGTCATGTCGTGCTTGACAAAGGAGCGGGTGGTGGAATACTCACGCTCGGTGGACCTAGGGATGTGGCGGCAGCGGAATGCAGGGTTGGCCGGTGGGGAGGACTGTTCTAAAAATCTAACAACCCCAACCTGTCGGGTGGGAAATAACTCTGATGTGTTCTGCGAAGTTCTGCTCTGCTATGCCTGCCATGCGTTGCTGTGGCATGCTGTGTTCTGCCATTATCTGTTCTGTCATGTTCGGTCATGTTCTGCAACGCTATGCTCTGTTGAGCGCTTTTCTATTCAGCTCTGTCAGGTTCGTCGGCGCGAGTGGCAGAATACTTGGGGGAACACTCGGTGGACCTGGAGATCTGGCGGTCGGGGTGTGCGGGGTGGGCCGGTCGGGAGGTCTGCTCACCAAATCTAACGACAGCAACCTGTCGGGTGGGGAGCAAATCTGATATGTTCTGTCATGTTCTGCTCTGCTACGCCATGTGTTGCTTTGCCATACTCTGTTCTGCCTGGTTCTGCTCTGCCATGTTCTGTTCGGTCGAGTCCTGTCATGCTGTGTTCTGCTATGCGCTGTTCTCTTCAGTTCTGTAGTGCTCGTCGGAGGCGCGGGCGAGGTACTCGGGGGACTCTCGGTGGACCTGGGGATCTGGCGGCCGCGGTATGCAGGTGGGGCCAATCGGGAGGTCTGTTTTCAACACCTGACGACCCCAACCTGTTGGGAGCGGAAAAAGTCTGATCTGCTCTGTCATGCTGTGCTCTGCTATGTCATGTGTTGCTCTGGCATGCTCTGCACTGTCCTGACATGTTATCTTCGGTCATGGTCTGTCGAGCTATGTTATGTTGGGCGCTGCTCTCTTGAGTTCTGTCAGACTCGTCGAAGGCGCGGCTGACGGATTACTCGTATGCAGGCTGGGCCGGTCTGGAGGACTGTCCAACAAATCTAACAACTCCATCCTGTCGGATGGGAAGCCATTCTGATGTGTTCCTTCATGTTCTGCTCTGCTATTCAATGTGTTGCTACGGCATGCTATATATCATGCCCTGGTCATATTAAGGCATGCTATGTCATGTTATACGCTGTTCTCTTCAGTTCTGTCGTGCTCGTCGAAGACGTCGTTGGCGAGATACTCGGGGGACTCTCGGTGTACCTGGGGATCTGGCGGTCGCGGTGTGCAGGGTAGGCCGGTCGGGAGGTCTGCTATTTAAGACCTAGCGACCCCAACCAGTAGGGTGGGGAACAATCATGATGTGTTCTGTCATGTCCTGTTCTGATATATCATGTGTTGCTATCTATGCTCTGTTCTGCCATGGTCTGTTCTGTCATGTTATGGTCGGCCATGCTCTGTCATGCCATGCTCTTTTTTATGCGGATCTGGCGGCCGCGGTATGCAGGGTGGGCCGGTCGGGAGGTCTGCCTTTAAATCTAACGACACCAACCTGTCGGGTGGGGAGCAAGTCTGATGTGTTCTGTCCTGTTCTGCTCTGCTATGTCATCTGTTGCTCTGTCATGCTTTGCTCTGCCATGCACTGTTCTGTCGTGTTATGTTCGCTCGTTCAAGCTATGTTATGTTATGCGCCGCTCTCTTGAGTTCTGGCATGCTCGTCTAAGGAACGGGTGGTGGCATACTCGGCGGACGCTCGGTGGACGTGGTGGTCTGGCGGCCGCGGTCTGCAGGCTGGGCTGGTGGGGAGGTCTGTCGTTAAAATATACCAGCCCCAACCTGTTGGGTGGAGGGCAAGTCAGATCTGCTCTGCCATGTTCTGCTCTGCTGTGTCATGTGTTGCTCTGTCCTGCCCAATTTTGCCTTGCTCTGCGCTGTTCTCTTCTTCTCTGTCATGCTCGTCGAAGGCGCGGGTGGCAGAATACTCGGGAGACGATCGGGGGACTTCGGGATCTGGCGTCTGCGGTATGCAGGGTGGGCCGGTCGGGAGGTCTGTCTTTAAATCTAACGGCCGCAGCCCGTCGGGTGGGGAACTACCCCCGTCGATCGCCCTCCCATTACGCAACGCCCGAGCTGGATCATAACCAGGTGGACGGGCACCCCTGCCTGCAGCGCGGTCACGATCTCGATTAGCACCCAGGGCCTCGTGAGCACGTTGTCCGTGAGGAGCAGCACCACGTTGTGGCTGCTCCGGATGATGCCCTGAATGTGGTCGGTCTCCACGAGATCGTTGGAATCGAGGAAGATCGGCCTTTTCATGTTGAAGGAGGGGTGTACAGGGTTCGCTTTGATGATGCGGCGCATTCCTTCCTCCATGAGCGCTGCGTCTGAGCCCGCCTCCTCCTGGACGGGTGGGCCCCTGCCGCCCGGAGGTGCCCGTCGTGGCGACCCGCTGGGTAGGGACCACAGGCACCCCAAGGAAGAGGGGCCCGCAGATTGGAACCAGGGGGGAGGGGGCTGCGGTGATGGGGGTCGGGGAGAGACGGCTGCTTGGGAGGAGGCAAGGTGCACTCAACACCAGGAGCCGGGCGCGAAGGGCCATGGGGGAGGCAAGGGAACAGAAGACGGAGGAGGGCGGAAGGGAAGGGAACATACAATAGACAACTTGATAGTTCCACACAGCGACGGCACTAAAAACAAGCATCCTCTCATGTCTGAAGGTTTCGAATGGGCTTCCAGGCTTTCTCCCAGCCGCCGCCCGTGAGGGCATCGGTGCTTGGCAACTCGCCGCGCCGAGAATTGGAACATCGCGCTGCGCGGGACTTGCCGCGGGCAGCTCGAAATGGCGCAAACGCCCCAGTCTGCACGCGCAGCCGCACTGCGTACGACTTGTCAACGAAGTCACGCCCTCCACACGGGTCGACTGGGCCCTCCACTCTGAGATGCGCACAGTGAAAACAAACAACACACAGTGTCAATGGAGGAGGGGGAGAGCAGAGGGAAGAGGTCGGGCGAGAGGCGGAACAGCATGTGATCAACGCCCCCGGAGGCGTGGCAAACGCTGGCGCTGGAAGTAACACGCGGAACGCCATTCAAACATGATCGGCGCGCCGCCGGGAAGGGAAAGGTGGCGGGGGCCCCGCGCTCCTAGAAGGAACAAGCTTGGCGGCAGGCTGGACGACACGGGAGGCGTCGTCACGCAGAGGCCTTATTGTCCGCACGAGCGAGCGCAGCGCCGCGCAAACTCGGCGCAATCACGCCGCGCGAAGCGCCTCCGCGCGGGGGGGCAATCCGCCCTATGCACGACACGAGCAGCTGGCAAGCGAAAAGGGCGTGAGGCGCCGCCAAACACACCGTGCCGCACTGCCGCAGGCTGCAGCGACAACGCTGCTACGAATTCCGTACGAATGCGAACTCCCCTAAACAGCGCGCGCGCGTCGTGGCAAACGGGCAAGGCCGCGCATGATCGCCACTCGGCCTCGCGCGAGCACAAGGGAATCTCCACGGGGAGCGCGCTGCAAGTGGCAAGGCTGCAACCTCATGAGAAACCGCTGCGTGGAAAAACGCTCGCCAACAACTACCGCAACGCAGCAACAACCGACAACAAATATAATTCAGAAAACGTCCAGAGCTCCCAAGTGCGATGGTTTCTTGCGCGGTCACGTTGACTCCCTTGTTGCCCGAAACACGAGATGTAGGACGTACCCTTGCCCACACATTCTGTTGAGCACATGTAATCGGAATTCCCAGGAGGGGAGGTGCGGGAGGGAGGTGCGGGGGGGAGGGGAGGGGAGCTGGCGCTCGGCCGAAGGAGGCGGGAGGGCGAAGCCCGAGCTTGTCCAGATCGCCCACGCTCCTCGTGTGACGAGAGCCGGACGGCACTCTCGAAGCAAATGACGTCCCCGCCGCAGAGGAAGACCCCGGGCAGCCCTGAACACAGCTCACGATGGGGGCCACGAGGGGCCACAGATCTCGGGGGGCCCGGCATCCCCCACCGGGCGTGAGAAAAACTGTGCATAAGTCTTACAGACCAGCTGTTTAGGAAACGGCATCGGGCTCGGGCACAGGCGGCCCATAACTGGCAGCCCTCGGCGGCAGTGCCCCCTCCCGTTTTCTCTCCTGCTGTCCTTGAAATGCGAGATGAAGACGAGCGCGCTGTCGTCCGCCACCTTCTCGATATACCTCTCGAGGAGGTTCCTCGGGGTCGCGGCCATGCCGCGATGCCCCCCATCCTTCTTATCCGCTCCGTCCTCATCCCAAGACATCTGGCGACTCAATTCTGGCGAATCGCCAGCCCCTGGAATTGTCGACCCCTCGCTTAATAATGCTCTGTTATCACTGTTGTTGTTGGTGTTGGTGTTGGCGCTGTTTTTGTATTCTCACTACTGAAGAATAATTATTGTGGATTCTCCCCCTCCGGTAACATATGTGTTTTTCAATTGAAGTGCCCTTCCTTTTTGGCCCACGAACTAAAACAACAACGACTCCCGCCTGATACTTCCTCACCGATTTTTTCCCCAATCGCGCTCTCGCGCGGGACATTGTCGCAACTTATTCAGAATCTTGCTCTCGCATGGGACGTCCTCGCAATGTATTCAGACGCGGCGCCCTCGACATTCAGGAGTCACGCTCTCGCTGTGGATCTCCTCACACTCGATTTGGGAATCGAGCTGTCGCTCGAGACTTCCTCGCGATTAATGCGTGACGCACGCTTGAGCAACCCGCCTGCTCGACCTGGCCGCCAAGGCCCTCCTTCCCGGCCCGCCGGGTACGGTCTACCCGCCCGATGTGCCCGTTTGGTTCTGCCACGTGTTTTCTGCTCCTCCTCCTAGTCTCTCTCGTGCTCCATCCTCCTCCCGCCTCCTTGTCCTTCCTTCTATACGCCCTCTCTTCCCCTTCCCCAGGGGCTGCACGGAAATAATACACGCTGCAGGTAAGAAAGATATGCCCGGCCGGAGAAGAAGAGGGCGGGTATCGAGGGTTCGGGGTATACGTGTTGACTGGCACGCGAACAGATAAAAGCGAAGCGTCTTAACATGATTGCTAGTGGTATTGTTGTTGCTGCTGTTGTTGTTGAACTCTCACTACTGAAGAATGATTATGGTTGATCCCCCCTCCGGTGACCATTGCATATTTTCAGTAGTACTGCTTCCCCCGAGGCTCGCGCCCTGGTTTTTGTCAGGAAAGTCACGGGGCTCAAACTGTGCTGTTGGCCGCGGGTTTACAACAACAGCGGCTCCCGCCTGGTTCTTCCTCAAAATGAATTATCAAATGGCGCTCTCGCGCGGGACCTCCTCACAATTTGTATACGAGTCGCGCTCTCGCGTGGGACTTCCTCGCAATTTATTCAGACGATGCGCCCTCGGCGCTCAGTAATCACGTTTTCGTCCAGGCTATTCTAACGATTTACTTGGGAATCACGCTATCGCTCGATACTTCCTCGCGAGTCATGCAGGACCCACGCTTCAGCAACCCGCCTGATCGACCTGGTCGCCTGGGCCCGCCTTCCCGACCTCCCTGCGATGGGTCTGCCCACCCGATCTACCCGCCTGGTTCTACCACTTGTTTTCTGCTCCTTGCACCCCTCCTGCTAATTTCTCTCGTGTTCCATTCTTCTCCCTCCCCCTTCCACCCGTTTTCTCTTCCCTTTGTTTTAGGGGCTGCACTAAATGCACAGGGCAGGTAAGGAAGATATACCATCAAGGGGGTACGATCGAAGACGACGGGGACAATTCCGAGGGTTTGGGATATACGTATTGATTGGCACGTGAGCAGATAGGAGCGAATAGTCTTAAAACGATTGTTGTTGTGGTGGTTGTTGTTGTTTTCTGAAGTTCTACAAACTAGTTGTTGGAGATCCCCCCTTTGATGTCCGTTTTGCTTTTCAATTGAATTGTCCCTCCCGGGGCTCGCGCGTTGTTTCTCCTCCAACGGAAAACTTTGTGCGTCAGATTGGGCCCCTGGCCCCCGGTTTATCACAACAGCGGCTCCCGCTTGATACTTCCTCACAATTTATTTTGAAATTTGATGTTCGCTGGAGACTTCCGTGCAACTTATACAGAAACCGCGATCTCGTCTGAGACCTCCTTACAATGGATTATCGAATCGCTCTCTCGGCGCTCTGGAACGGCGCTCTCGCTCGGGACCTCCTCATTACGTACTCAGGAACCTCGCTCTCGCCTGAGGCTTCCTTGCCATCCCCTCTGGCTGAGCCATCTTGCTGATCCCTCTCGTCCTCCATCTCGTCTTCATTCTTGCCACCTTCGGTCATCCTTCCCTTACCCACGCTTTCTCCCTTTTCCGTTGTTTTGCTGTTTCAGGGATTCCGCCAATGACACGTGGTAGAGAGGGAGGATATCCCACCAAAGGGGCAAGATCACAAAGAGAGCGGGTCTTGAGGGCTTGGTAGATACATGCTGGTGGACACGCGAGCACCTGTGAGCGAACACTATTACAACGACTGTCGTTGAATTTACATGACTAAAGAATAATTGTTGCTGATTCCCCCCCTCCGGTGCACCGTCTCTTTTTTGGGCGCCCGAGTTATCCGGGGTAACTCGGGTCCAGGGTAACTCGGGCTTGGATTCCCGAAAAAGGAACCCGAGTTAGCCCTGACCCGAGTTACCCCTGATGATGTGGGGCTCTGGACGCCCGAATTATCAGGGGTAACTCGGGCCCAGGGTAACTCGGAACCCGAGTTAACCCTGACCCGAATTACCCCTGATGATTCGGGGCTCTGACTTTTTCCCATTGAAGTGCCCCTTCCGGAGCTCGCAAGCTGTGTGTCATCAGGGAAGATCTCCTGCCTCAGACTGGGTCCCTGGCCCCCGAACTACACCAAAAATCCGCTCGCGCCGGCTGCTTCCCCACCGCGCACTCACAGAACGTGCTCTCGCGCGGGACTTTTCCCCACACGGCACGCAGCATCGCGCTCGAGCGTGGGACTTCCCTGCAGCCGATCCGCACGCCGCGCCCACGACGCCCGGGAGCCACGCTCTCGCCCCAGACTGCGTCACGATCTGCTTGGGGGGTCGCGCCGCCGCTCGAGGCGCCCTCGCGGCCCGTGCAAAGGCGGACGCTCCCCGCGGCCCGCCCGCTCGACGAGGCCGCCTCGGCCTGCCCGCACCCCGCCCGCCTGGGCTCGCCCGCCCGGCCCGCCCGCCTGGCTCTGCCACTTGCCTCCTCGGCCCCCCCCCCTTTCGTGCTAGTCTCTCTCGTGCTCCATCCCCCTCCCTCCATCCGTGCCTCTTCGCTCCACCCTCCCTCCTTCTCTCTTTCCACCTCTGCCTCTGCCATCCTTCTCCTTTTTCTTCTTCTTCTTCCATCCTTGTCTCCTTCCACCATTATCCTCTCTCGTGCTCCCCCTTCCCTTCCTCCCGTCCTCCCTCCCCCCGCTTCCTGTGTTCTATGGGGCTGCGCCGCTTACGCGTGGCAGGCAAAGACGCTATACTCCCTAAGGAGGTGCAGCCGAAGACGAAGAGGGCAGGTATCGAGGGTTCGGGATATAGGGAGCTCCACCGACGGCCCCAGGTGGCAGGTTTCGCACGGCGCCGCCACACTCAGGCAACCCCTCACACGCTTCGTGGCCCCATGGGGAGCTGTCCCTCTTTGAACTCGCCTGAGCGGCTGACTTTCATCATGCCCATTCTGAGATGAAGTGCCCCTCCCAGGGGCTCGCACTTTTGTTTGCTTTGTTTTTTTTTGTGTAGGGGGAAACCTTGAGGCTCAGACTGGGCGCCTGCCCTCCGGTTGGCAACAACAGCGGCTTCCGCCGAAGCACTTCCACACAATGTAGTCAAAATCGTGCGAACACGCGGGACTTCCTCAGGGTTTACACACGCATCGCGTTTTCGCGTGGGACGTCCTCGAGATGTATTCAAACGCCGCGCCCCCCATATTCAAGAATCGCACTCTCGCTGTGAACCACCGCACGATTTACTTGGCAATCGCGCTGTCGCTACAGACTTCCTCGCGATTCACGCAGGACTACATGTTTCAGCGGTCCGCCCGCTCGACCCCGCCGTGTTGGCCCGCCCGCCCGACCCGCCCGTTGGGTCCGCCCGCCCGGCCCGCCCGTCTGGTTCTGCAAGTTGTTTTCTGCTCCTCACCCCTCCTTCGTGCTAATCTCTCTCGTGCTCCATCCTTCTCCCTCCCCCTGATCCCATCCTCCTCTCTTCCCCTGTTTGAGGGCCTGCGCCAAGTACACGTGGCAGGTAAGGAAACTGTACCCCCAACGAGGTATGATCGAAGACGAAGAGGACGGGTATCGAGAAATTGGGATGCCCCATGTTGAACGACACGCAAGCAGATAAGAAAGATCACCTTCAAAACTGATGTTCTCGTGAAGATCCCTCTTCTGGACAATAGCTACCCCCCTCTGGTGTAACGTTTGCTGCTTGAATTGAAGTACCCGTCCAGGGGCTCGTACCCTGTTTGTGTGCGAGGGGAACACATGAGGTTCAGATTGGGCGCCTGGCGCCTAAACTTAAACAACAACGGCTCCCGCCTTATACTTCCACACGGTTCAGAATCGCGCTCTCGCGCGGGACTTTTTCAGAGTGTATCCAAGAAGCGTGCTCTCGTTTGGGAACTCCTCGCAATGGACCGAAACGCCTCCCCCCCGACACTCGAGAATCGCGCTCCCGCTCTGGACCTCCTCGCGCTTTATTTGGGAATCAAGCTGGTTTCCTCGTGATGCATCCCGCCCGCTCGACCCCACCCGAGGGCGAGGAGGAGGAGGAGGAGGAGGAGGGGGAGGAGGAGGAGGAGGGGGAGGGGGAGGGGGAGGAGGAGGAGTAAAACTGAAATGTCAGCGACCCGCCCGCTCGACCCCACCGCCTGGGCCCGACCCGCCCGTTGGGGCCCGCCCGCCCGCCGCGCCCGTCTGATGCAGTCGCTTGTGCTCCCGTGTCCTAATCTTAAGCCGGGCCTGTCCCCCATACAAGGGCATTCTGGACGACAGATAAACATACGCAAAACATGCCCCCAAAGACTCAAAACATAGTCCCCAGACTATTTTTTTACTATTTTTGAATATTCCCCCTGTAGAGGGACAGGCCCGACTTAAGTCTAATCCCGCTCCTGCTAATCTCTTTCGTGCTCAATCCTCCTCCTTCTTTCTTGCCTCTTCCCTTCTCCCTCCCTTCCAGTGTATTAGGGATGCGCCAACTACACGTGGAAGTCAAGGGAGATATACC